TAGGTAATAGGGGAAGAAAGGGCAGTAGGGGCTATTCTTCCCTTCCCTGGGCTGTACCAGTGGACTCCTAGAAGGCATGGAGAGGGGGGCTGTAAGAGGATGGGAAGTTTTTAAAACATGAAATTTTCAAAAAGCACTTAAGCACTTCCTTCTTGTGACTCACTGGTCACCCCTAACCTCTTCCCTCTCCCACCAAGACTATCAGAACCTTGACTGATAACTAGGGGTTCCCAGATAAGGACACAGGGATTTGGGAGCAGCGGGAAAGAAGGGTACTCATGCTAGGGTAGTATCGACCCTCAGCTCGTAGCCTGGCTCTGCTCCCTGGATTCCAGTGCCTCCCGGTCCAGCTCTTCCCCTCCTCATCCTTGAGGCGAAGACAAATGTGATTCTAGGCTCTACACCAATTCTTGGTCCCTCCCACCAGGCCCTTGAATGTTCCTCATGTCCCTGTGTTTCTCTTCTTCTGCGTCTTGGCACCTTTTTTCTGTTCAAAGTTTTCTGTAAATTTTTTCTTTTTCTTTTTTTTTTTTTATAAATTAATTTGCTTTCAGTTCCATCTTGTGGATGCCTTCTGTGTTCTCTTACCTGTGACTGTCAGGCAGGGGGATTGGGCATTCCTGGATTCCTTCACAGGGCCATTCACCCTTGCTGGAGAGGCACTCTGCAAGCCACAGGGCCTACAGACACTATGCCTCACCACAGAAGGCTGAAGGCAGCACAGCAGTCAGGACTGTGCACTCCTACAGGAGCAGAGGCTCTCACCTGCTCTAAAAATAGCTGTTTAAGACTTGGAAGCACATCCCCACAATGTGGCGGTTTTGTATCTATCCTTTCGGAAGGAGTAGCTTCATTCCTTCCCTTATTAGGGAGGAGGCAGGCCTCTTAAACTGCTGCTGGTTTTTTGGCCCCTAGCCCTGCCGAGGTGACCGGCTCAGGCAGTGCTAATAGGGCCTGGCTTTAGCTGCAATAAACACTCCCCAGCCTTCCCCACAAAAGGCCTTTAGTGCTTGGTGGGGTAAGAGGGAGAGGTAGGTGGGGTTAAGGAGCTGGAGGGCTAGGAGAAGACACAGCCTGATATGGGATGGAATGATGGCCAGCCTTGGTTCTACAGGGATTTATGGCTTTCCTAATCCTTCAAGGGGTAGCCTCTGTAGCATAGATAAATGGGGCCTGTATTTCTTAAATGAGGCGAAGGATGGCTACTACAGGCCTCTCCCCAGCTTTCCCCAACCTCTGGCCCATTGACCTTGGATTCTGCCTCGGGGCAGAAATCACCACCATCTCACCTTCTTCCCCTTCAATCTGCTCAGGAAGGAAAGCAGAGACGAATTGGGGCACAAAGAGCAAGTTTATTTGGTGAATGATGACGGCAAACATCGTCCAAGAAAGACACGATGGGAGAGGTGCTGTGACAAGACAGTCTAGGAGGCCTCTGGGGCTAGATGCAAAAAGTCTCACACAGGGAAAGGCACGGGGCTCTGGGGATACTGGGAATGTCCTCAGCCATTCAGCACCATACGGACAAGCTCTGTGGAAAAGAAAGGTGGGGTGAACCAGGGAGCAGGGCTGAGGAGGGGTATGCCAGGGGCCAGGAGACAACAAGACCACAAAGGTAGCATAAAAGGGAACATGCCCACAGCAACCAACTTTGGGGTCAGTTTGCAGAGGAGCCACCTTGAGTCTGACAAGTTCTCTCTGCCCCTAGCTCCCCTCCCACCAGCTGTTAGTCCCCCACCCTACCCTGAGCAGCAGGAACACAGCAGAGGCAGAAAAGTTCTCAACTACACCTACAGCTACTGTTAGCCACTGGCAGGAGAGGACAGAGTTTTGGGTTAGGGTACCTCCAAGCTGCCCAGCATAGGGAAGGGCAAAGGACTGTTCAGTTATAGCAGCAGAATGGGACAGGCAACCCCCACCCCACCCCTATGCCAACCACCCATGCTCCAGGGCCAAATGATCATCCTAAGCAAGACATATATAGGCTGGTAAGAGTTCCCAGACATCAGCACCCAGGGCCCTATAAGCAAAACCTCAGAGACCATTCTAAGAGAAGTAAGGAGGTACCATACCAGAGGCTGTCGTCCTCTTTGAGGACCCCCTCCCCTCCCTAGTCAGCTCCATGCAGAAACATGCCAGAAGGAATTCAGATGGTAGTAGGGTAAGGGTAAGGCTAAAGAGCACAAGTTGGGAAGAAAAAGGAAACACTGGGGGAAATCAACTAGAGAAGGAGAGGCTGGGAGGAGCCGTACCCGCCCCATGGGCCCGTCACCCCGACAGGATATGCCTCACAAACGCTGCAGAAAGGAAGAGACATTAATGGTGAAGACAAGACACAGACATGGGGTGAAGGGTCAGGCGGTGGGGAACAGGCGTTCCATTTATTTCCCATTCCTTCCCCACCCTTCAGACCACATCACCCCTTTTTTTCCTGTCATACCCCCCTGACCTCCCATTCCTAGGCTGGGCACTGCCCCTTGCTGCCTGGCTCCTTTTGGAGCCCAAGTCCAGGCATAGGGAAAGCTCCAGATGCTGTCATTGACCTGCCCCATATGGCTGCTTTCTCCAAGACAGCCCCAGTTCACTTCTCACCTTCGTAGTTGATACAACCATTGCTGTCCTCGTGTCCTGCCACCAGCATCTCTACTTCTTCCTCTGTCATCTTCTCACCTTTAGGGGGAAGGAGAGAGCATTTTTGGAATTGGGTGACAGGTGAGGTGTATCAGGGTAGCAACTCAGCTCAAAGACAAGGGCATAGAGCCTTACCCAGCGTGACAAGGACATGCCGGATTTCAGCGCCCATTACCGTGCCGTTCCCTTCTTTGTCAAACACCCGAAGGCCTTCAACATAATCTTCATAGGTGCCCTGGTCCTTGTTCTTGGCCACAGTCTGCAGCATAGGCAAGAAGTGCTCAAAATCCAGTACCTTCACATTCATCTCTGCCGTGAAGGAGGTGGAAATGTTAGCCAGGGAAGTCACATGAATTCTCAGGACCAGGGATTATGGGGATAACAACTAAGCAGATGATTCCCACTCCATGGGATTTGCTAATGGAGAGAAGACTTGAGTTTGGGGCACGTGAAGATAAAGGGAAGCTCATAGCTGAGGAACTGTGGGCCCACTACCACACCGAGGAGCTGTTCATAAGGACCCTCACCATCACTCTTAGGGTTCCCCAGGACCTTGAGCACCTCGGCGTTGGTGGGGTTCTGGCCCAGGGCCCTCATCACGTCCCCACATTGGCTGTATAGGATCTTGCCATCACCTGTTCGGTCAAACAGCTGGAAGGCCTCCTTGAATTCTGAGAATTCAGATGAACGTCAGCATTGGGGATGTGGGGGTTAATCCAAACCCTACCTCAGAGCTCTGCTGCCCATTCAACTTAGATCATGCTGAGGAAACCAGATATCTGTACTCCACTGTATACCAAAGTACGCTGAGAGATCCATTTCTCTTGCTCCCAACTCAGGTGTCCCACAAGAAGACACAGCCTGGGCCGAGCCCGTGGTGCACTCGGGAGAGTGCAGCACTGGGAGCGCAGCGACTCCCGCCGCGGGTTTGGATCCTATATAGGAGTGGCTGGGGTGCTCACTGGCTGAGCGCGGTGCGGGCGACACCACACCAAGGGTTGTGATCCCCTTACCGGTCACGAAAAAGAAAAAAAAAAAAAAAAAAAGACACAGCCTTCCTTGGCACCATGGCATCCATTTACATACCCCCTCCGCCTACAGCAGGCCTGACCAAGCTCTGCACTACTGCTATACTACTCAGGGCAGGAATTTGCCACTGCCCAGTGTGGGTCCTGTCCTTATAAGGAAGTGGGAGCAGCAGCCTGGGATGGGTCATCCCAGCCTGCCATTTCCCACCCTTCCTGTACACAGACTTTCTAGAGGGTAGAGCTACAAAGTCATATCCTTAGCAAACTCCACAGTCTCCACCTTCACAAAATATCAAGTCACTGCTCTTTACAATCTTCACAGTTCCAAGCTGGGGGAGAGGGACAGTTATCAAAGAGGGAGAGAAGAGGCAGAAGTAGCTGATTAAGGGACAGAAGAGTGCAGGCAGCTTAATAAACCCTCCCCAAACCCCACACACCACAGGCATTAGGTGACCAAGTTGTTTCACATACCCACACCACCTAAAACTCACCAAGTGCTTGGGGCTCAGATCTAGAGTGGAAGGGGAGGGAGGAAGAAAGAGTGAGAAAAGAAAATGGAGGATCCAGAAGTAGGGTGAAGGGAATCCAGGGGTACTCTCCTTGGGACGCTAGAGATGACAGGTTGGGTTTGGAGGTTAGGTGTTAGAAGGGGTGTCCCTCTCCCTAGGGGTCAGAGACTACATACCTGCGGTCTGGTCCTCGGTGAAGTCACACTGCTCAGAGAAGAAGGGTGTGGTCAGCATCTGAACACCAGTCCCCCGGGCTTCCATCCCAGTCCCACAAACTCTGAACTACAAACTCCTGGTGCAGGCTGAGGACTCGCTTCCCAGTAGGACAAGGCCCCAGACTTTACTATCCCACCTTCAACCGTCCGGGACCTCAAGTTCTCTTTGCCCCCACCCCCTGCCTTCTCGCCCCCTACCCGTGGCTTCCCGCCTCTTGCCCCAAATCCCGCTCATCTCCCAGGCCCGGGGCCCCACCATCTTGACTGCTCAGCTCCGCCGGACCTTTCCCTGCAGTAATGGCTCCGACTGCAGGCCCAACCCTAGCCTTAGTACGTCCCGGTGACGCCATCCTCAGCTGGCCCAGCCAATAGGAACTCCGACCTGGGCTGGTGCCGACGACATTGCTACATTAGTAACCAGGTGGGCGGAGCCTACTGCTGACAATTTCTCCGGAATAGCCCTACCTGGGTCCGGAAACCGCCCCGGGGTTGGGGTGGGGCGCGACGAAATCTGTCCCTCCGAACCGCAGAAATACCAGAAAATAATAGGACTTCGGAGATGAAAGGGCCCTCCCTTCCCACCCTCCTTCACCAGTGAAGAAAACAGCAGTCGGAGACCAAGGGAGGAACCGTGTCTTTATTTTGAAACAATACGTGGCCTCCTAGTGGCAGGAACGTGCTTCCGCCTGGCGGGGCCCAGTTCTGACCCTCCTGGATCTGCGGGGAAAATAAATTGCTAAATCTTGGCGCTCGCGCAGCAACCAGATGGGAAAACGCAATCTCCTGCTTCTCTAGACCGGCTGAGGGACGGGAAGGAGACTTGCCTCTCAAGGCGGGATGAGGGATGAGAGGGTCCTACCTGTTGAGCTCAGACGCTTAGGATGTGCTTCAGGAAGGCTGCAGAGAGGAGGCAAGAGGGGCTTCAGAAGCAGGCCTTTGGATAATCCATCTGCCTTTAAGTAATCCAGGGTGCCCCGACCACACAGGACGAGATACCAGGCTCCCCTCCTCCCCTGGCCCTTCTCCTGTTCCTCTGGCTCCTCACCCTCGTAATTGATGCAGCCGTTGCTGTCCTCATGTCCTGCCAGAACATCCTCCACCTCCTCCTCAGTCAACTTCTCTCCTGAACCACAGACACAGCGTTTGAGCCCCTGCCTTCCCTCCCTCACCAACCTAGGCTGTGCACTTCAGGGTGGTACCTTTTCTTCTCCCACCCTGACACTTGCCCATAGCCACAGTCCCTCAAGGGAATCCTCCCCTTGTAATGGTAATGCCTCCTGCTTTCCATTTCACCTTGGTACTGTTGAAAACTTTAATGGACAAGGAAACAATCCTAGAGGGTTAAGAGACTTGTACCAGATCACAGAATACAAGCATCTCTTCAAAATGAAAACTCAGGTCTTCCACCTCATCCCCTTTCCTCTGCTGTGTGGGAGGCACCTTGGCCTCTGGAGGAGCAAGTCCCTCAGATTCTGCCGCCATGGCTCTGACCTTCTCAGTCATGATCTGCAGGACAGCAATCCCCTCCCTGGCTCTGCCTACCTGGCCAACCTTTTTCCTGGTCCACCCCCTCCTCTACCCCAAAGGCGTTCTGGTCCCTGCCTCACCCAAGGTGGTGAGGACATGTCTCAGCTCTGCTCCCATGACTTTGCCGTTCCCCTCCTTGTCAAACACCCGAAGCCCCTCCAAGTAGTCATCATATGTGCCTCGGTCCCGGTTCTTGGCCACTGCCTGGAGCATGGGCAGGAAAGTCTCAAAGTCCACTCGCCGGGACTTCAGCTCTGGAGGTTAGAGAGAGATGAGGGAGAGGTCACTGTGGTTATCACCAAGGACCCAGCTCCCATCCCTATCACAATGGCTTTCATCCTGTTCAGCATTCAGGATGTTTTTCTACTCCTGTATTGACGGTTTTTGAACTCCTGAGATCCATCCCAGCATCCTTTGTCACCTTACCAATATTCTACCATTGAAAATTGAAAACTAGCATTGTTCCAAGGGTCCCCTCACCATCGCTCTTGGGGTTCCCCAGGATCCTGAGCACCTCGGCGTTGGTGGGGTTCTGGCCCAGGGCCCTCATCACATCCCCACACTGGCTGTACAGGATCTTGCCATCCCCTACTCGGTCAAACAGCTCGAAGGCCTCCTTGAACTCTAAGGTATAAGGAGAAGTCAGTGTGGACCCAGGGTTCCCGTCATCCCCAGACCAAAAGGAGGTTCAGAAACTGTGTGCTACGGACCACCCTGTGGCTCACTCGGGAGAGTGTGGTGTTGATAACAACAAGGCCACGGGTTCGGATCCTATATAGGGATGGCCGGTTCGCTCACTGGCTGAGCGTGGTGCTGACAACACCAAGTCAAGGTTTGAGATCCCCTTACCGGTCATCTTTAAAAAAAAAAGAAAGAAACTGTGTGCTACAATTGAATACAAGGAGGGAGGAAAAGAGGAGTAGTGTGAGAGATTTCAAGGTTCGGACTAGAGTTAGGGGAACAGGAAGAGGATCTGACCAGGGGCTTGAGACTAGACAGTGAGTTTAGGGAACCAGCTTCTCCTCACCCTCCAGCTGGTCCTTGTTAAACTCGATCTGTGGAAGAAAAGAGCAGGTGAGGAGAGATGACAGGGCGTATTCAATCCCTCTCCAGCATTCCTCCCAACCAACTGGCGGCCACTTCTGGGGAGGGGCCCAGAGGGAGTAGGCTGGGAGCCCAGCCACTTCAGTCCCATTCCCAGCTCTGGGCCTTGGGAGAATCCCAAGAGGAGGAATTATAGGGGGGAGGGTTCCCTGGGAACAGGGTTAATCCCATGCCACCTGTTCCCCTCCCTCCACTGTCCTGAGTCCTGCATCCCTCACATAACTGGGGGCTGAACAAAGGCTAAATTTACCCCCGGCCCCCAGCTGTGATTGTCTAACAAGTCTGTCCTCTTCGGCCTCCCCTCCTGGGGTTCAGAGCTGCAGCCTTTTGACTTGAACAGCCAGCCAGGGGCAGCCAGCAGCTCTCTTCCCTTCACCTTGAAACTGTCCTCAGTACCCAGGTGTTCCCCCATCTCAGAGTCCCTCAAGCAGGGGGATCAGTGAGTGCATGTGTGTATCTGCACACACACATTATAAGTTGGAGAGAATATCAAAGACAACAGCAGAGTCATAAGTGGATGCTTCCATGGGAGACTAAGGGGAACTCCCAATCTCATTCCAGTGTTCATTCATTCCCTACCCTCTAGATGCCCCCAATCCTCTAGGCTGTGTTCCACCCGCGAACCACCCCTTACCACTTCCATTCTCACTTTCCGGGGACTCACCACCACTTTGGAGAGATCAACAGGGGGCCCCTGGATTTTCTCAGGGGCTGGGGGGACAGCTGGCTCAGGTGTAGTCTTGGCTGGAGCAGCTGCTGCTGCTGGCTTGGCAGCAGGCTTGGAGATGGAGGGTCCTGCTGGTTTCTTCACGGGAACATCCTTTTTGGGAGGCATGATGTCCGGTGGCCAAAGGACAGTGTGCCGATGGGGGCACCCATCTCTGTTTAAATAGCCAGGAAGTCTGGGATGTCAAGGGGCGGGGGCAGGGGCACAAAGCCAGTTGGCGGTGGTGAGGATGAGGTAGAGGAGAGATATGCCCGCGTGCCCTCACTCCCCTGGCCTCCTATCGTTCAGGATTCCTGCCCCAAGGTCTTCTTCCCTCTTTCCTCCCTTCCCCAAACGCTGGCCAGAACAATGTTCTTTCTGGGGGCAGGGGGAATAAGCCCAGAGACTACCCAGAATGGAGGAGTTAACCTCCAGGGTGAGGACAGGATGCTTGCCAGTGACACTGAGATAGAGGTAAGGCAAAGGAGGGGATCCAGCAACTTTAGACTCTTGAAGGCCCAGGTGGTGGGGGGGCTTGTGTGAACTGATATATGTTAAAGGAGGGTCTGGGAGCAGTGAAAAGGGAAAAAACAAGCAGCTCTTCTGTCATCCATCCCAGTTTGGTCTGGGGATGACAGATGACCATTGGTGAGGAGTGGGGGTATCTGACCCCACAATCTGATAATCCTCAGTACTTGTAGTCCTTGAGCTCCCTCCCAGCCCAGAACTGGAACTGTGCACAAGTATAAAGAAAGAATAGTAATGGAAAGGGGAATGTGACACTCCCTCCCACCACTGTCTCCTGTGCCCAGTGTTGTTTTAGGGGTGGGAATGGGGACAAGGATCAGGTTTAACACCCACCACCCACACTTCCAAGGACGAAAATCTTTTCCTTAAGCCCATTATCATTCAAGTCAAACAAAAGGTAGGGTGCTTGCTAAATCTGCAGGGACCCCGTGGTGGCACCTGGGGGGAAGGGCGGGCTCTGGGAGACAAAGGGCCTAAATTTTCTAATCCGAAAGGATGAGGGAGCTCCTATGGGCTCCATGAGTACTCACCCCCCAACCAGGGGGATAATAAAAGTCTTGACTGAGGCGCCAGGTCACAAAACTTGCTAGGCGCGCTGGGGTGCAGGTCGAAGTTGGGGGCGTTTGGGAGTAAGTAAGGATTGCTGGCTACTTTTGCTGTGGGGGGAAAGGAGAGGATTTAGGTAGCATCCTGAAAAAGATAGTAGTAGTGATTCTACTTAGGCCCTGGGGTTCAGAGAGTTGATGCTGGGTCTTTCATTAGCAAAAAAAGCGCGTATGAATCTCATTACTGCAAATTGTCCCATTTTGGGAAAACCAGGAATCATTCTTCCCGCAGGGAATACATCCATCTCTCACACACACACACTCACTCACACACTCCTAAGCCTTAAAGGAAAGCCGTCCTCCCCAACCCCAAAGAACTCACCATGCGCGGTTCGGGTAAGGGACGGGGGCGGGGTGCAGCTCGGCCCGCGGCACTGAAGGGTTCATTCTGGCTGCCGCGAAGCATATTGGGAGTTGTAGTCCCCGCGGGTTCGCGGGAAACGCTCTCTCTAGAGCAAAGGCGACGCGGGGGAGGGGGCTTCCGGCCCATGGCGACGGTTGGTGACTCAGGCTCTTTCCAGCGCGCTTTTTCTCCAGGAACTGAAGGGCAGTGTGCAATTTACCCTTCTCACCCCTGACCCTAGAACCCTGTGGGACCCCTCACACGATCTCTCTTCCTTATCCCTGGTGAATCCCCCGTTTAGTGAGTGCGGAGATTTTTTCCTGGATATACTCGGAACCAGGGGAAAGGCTGAAGCTGCAGCACGCAGCATGGAGGTCAGCTAGCTGCGAGCACTTACTGCCCCGGGGAGAGCAGCTGCGGTCGCTTTCGCTTCCTCTCGCGGTTTGGTAGAAAGAGAACAGAGGCCATTGAGTTGCTGCGTGGCTTGGACTAGTAACTTCCAAAGGTTTTGATTTTTTAAAAATTAGCTGGCCGCTGAGGTATATGTTAAGATTTGCAATTAAGCCCGGTCACTTGACCCAGTCTCTCCAAGCCGAGGCTTCTCCATCCTCTGGTCGCATATGCGCCATCCTCCTAGGTCTTAAGAAGTCTCCTTAGAACAGAGGGCTGGACACTCCAGCCCTTCACTCTGAGACACCTCTGCCCAGAATTGGAGTTCACTCATTACTCCAGGCGTTTGTCAAATGTCTCTGTGCTGGGAGGGAACCACCTTAACTCACTGGATCGGTAAATACCTGGCTGTCGTGTTGGAGGCTGGAGCTACACGGGCGTGTAAGGAGTGGATCAGAGTGGAAAACCCATGTGAGGGCAGGAGGATGGGCACAAGTGAACATTACTAGTTGAGGAAAGCCTCCCAGAAGAATAGAAATGGATTTTACAACAGAAATAACGATGATGGTGTTAGGAACCATTCCTGGAGGCCTCCACAGATTAGGTGCTGATGAAGCGGCTAAATTATCAGAGAGGCAGCACACAGGGTGTGCTAAAGAGCGTGGGCTCAGACCATCCTGCTCAGATTTGAATCCAGGTTCTGCCAGGTACTGGCTGGTAACTTCCAGCGAGTTTAGTTATCTCTCCGGGCCTCAGTTTCCCCATCTGTAAAATAAAGAAAATAGTACCTACCTCTTAGGGCTGTTGGGAGAATTAGATGTGTTAATATTTGTAAAACAGAATAGGCCTGGCACAGCATAAGTGCTATATGAGTTTGTTAAATAAATTTCCTTTAATCTTTCCAACATATAAAGTAGGTGGTATTTTCCCCATTTTACATCCATGAAGGTTCAGTGGGTATGAAGAGATAGAAAGAAGGAATACATTTCTCATAAGTGTTTGGTTGCAAGACTGGGGAAGGGACACAACACAGATGCCTTTTTGTGTCTTTCATCACTTCTACAGAAGTTGATTTCGAAGATGTGGGTTGTGTTTTTGTTTTTTTTTAAAGGTGACCGGTAAGGGGATCTTAACCCTTGACTTGGTGTTGTCAGCACCACACTCACCCACCAAGCTAACCAGCCATCTCTATATGGGATCCAAACCCATGGCCTTGGTGTTATCAGCACCACACTCTCCCGAGTGAACCATGGACAGGCCCGAAGATGTGGTTTATCTAATTTTTTTTCCCTCCTTTTTCCCCTATCGAGAGCCCACTTTTGGCACTTTGCCAAGTATGAGTGTTTATATTCTCAGCTGACTTTCTAGCATTTTCTGTTTTATAGAGAAGTAATGCAAGGAGAAAAGATGAAGACCCTTGGCAAAGACAGATTAGAGAACTATCCATTTTCTATGACATCCTGTCTTTTAATCATAAATAATACAAACTGAGGGCTAGCCGTTTAGCTCAGTTGGTTAGAGCGCTGCCTTGTAACACCAAGAACAAGGGCCAGCCAACAAAAACAAAACAAAACAAAATAATATGAACTGGATTGAACATGGTCTTAACTGGACATAGGTGATTTATATGTCATGTATGTGGATTATCTGTGACAAATGCCTGTCTTGGGGCCGGCCTGTGGCTCACTCAGGAGAGTGTGGTGCTGATAACACCAAGTCAAGGGTTAAGCTCCCCTTACCGGTCATCTTTAAAAAAAAAAAAAAAGATTTTGACTATAGGTCTGTGTAAGAGCCTAGGAATCTTTTTGAAATATTTTTAGCCTACTGGAAAATACAGAGAATAAACTACCAAAGACACAGGTAACCACAGCATTAATAAATGGAGTGAGCATTTCAAAATGCACATCTGTAGGGCTGACTGGTTAGCTCAGTTGGTTAGGCCACAGCCTTGTCCTTGTTTTGTTTTTTCTTTTTTTGTGTGTGTGTGTGTGTTAAAGCGCAGCCTTGTAACACCGAGTTCATGGGTTCAGATCCCCGAAACTGCCCCCCAAAAAAAGAAAAATTAAAATGTACATCTGATTGTATCATCTTCCTACTTAAAATCCTTTTATGTATTTTGATAAAGACTAAATACTTAACAGTGGCCCACAAGAACCAGCACTTTTCAGATACTCCTTGCCTGTACCAGCCACACCTACTAACTTTCACATCTTCAAAGGTGTTATATGTCCTTATTGCACAGGTTGTTTTCTTTATCTTTTATGCCCCCCGCCCCCCATATACACTGTATTTCCAGAGCACAGTGCCTGGTACATAGAATACCGGAATATTTGTAGAATGAATGGATGTCTGGGTGAAAGGGAAGAGTCAAGAATGGACACTGATACAAGTAAGTTGATAGGGAGGTAGGTTGCAGATTCAAGGGATTGAGAGAGTTCAATTTTGTTTTTCTTTTTTTGTGTGTGTGTGTGGCTGGCCAGTAGGGGGGAATCCCAACCTGTGACCTTGATGTTATAACAAGATTAGAAAAGAAAATTGGCAAGTGGGGGATTGCTATTGGAGAAAAGGATTACTGACAACAACAAGAAATGATGGTTGTTACTCTGGCAGTGAGAGAAGAGGCAGCAAGATCTATTAAAAGTAGGTATCATTTTACCCATCAATTAGCAAGATTTTTTAAAATTGTTATCAAGGTTGGATAGAATATAGGAAAACACGTTTTCAAGTAATGCTGTTGGGAGTGTAGAAAATGGATATAATCTCCTTAGAATACAGTTTGGAAGAATGTTTTAAAAGTTCAACAGTGGGCTGGCTGGTTAGCTCAGTTGGTTAGAGTGTGGCAAAAAAAAAAAAAAAAAAGTCCAACAGAAGTTGACCCAGCAATTCCACTTATCCTAAGGAAATCATTTGAGATGTATCTAAATATCTTTATGTATGTTCCCATAGTGAATTGCAAAATACTGAGAACTACCTACATTTCTGACAACAGATAGTTGGTTAAACTATGGTACATTCATTCTATGGAAGTATATACAACCACTATAAATTATGTTTTCAATAATTTAATTATTGATTATTTAATGCAGGGTAAAAATGCTTATATGTTAGGTGAAAAAGGTTATAATATGATTATAATTTATAAATTTGTTTTCCTGAACTTATGTTAGCTTTTCCTCCTTGTGTTGCTCATCTCATGGCCTTGAAAAAGACTGCTGCAGTTCCAGGTATCACATCCTTATATGAATGAGTAGTTTATGATGCAAGCAAAAAGAATGGGGCAATAAATGTTCTCTTCTTTTTATTTTGGCATCTGGCCAATACCCAACCCTTGACCTTGGTATTATAATACCATGTTCTAACCGGCCAAGCTAACCAGCCAACCCTGGCTCTTTTCTTTTGATGCTCCTGTAACCAAATGACTTCCTGTTACATCTTGTTGACCAGAGCTGGGTCAGTGTCATCCTGAATTGCATGGGAGGCTGGGAAAGTGAGTATCTGGCAAGGAGGATCATATTAATCCCTTGGGGCTAGCACACTGCCGCCAGGAATGCTCTGGGGTTCTCTGTATGTAGGGAAGAGGGAAAATAGCTGTTGTGTAGACAACTGTGTTACCACACCCAGTTAATGATGGCACATTGTTTGGTCCAATAAAACCACATTCCGAATTTGCAAACATCGGTGACAGTGTACCCATATGCAGTCATATCTGCCTTTCTCTGGAAGAGGTACACATCATCAAGGGCTGGCCAGTTATCTCAGTTGGTTAGAGTGCCATCTTGTAACACCAGCATCAGGGATTAGGATCCCCATACCAGTCAGCCGCCAAAAAAAGTAAAAATCTATGGGTAAAAAGAAAAAAAAAGTATGGATTGTGTATGTGTCAGTGTCAAGTCAGCTGTTTTGAGAAATAACAGTATATTTGTTTAATTTCTGTGATTAGTGACCCCTATTTTTTTCATTTGTTTCATCTTTGTGTATATGTGCAACCATGTGCTGAGCTGGGTCTCATCCTGCTTTTACTATGTAGATCAGTACCTCCTCCCTTTTATTTGTTAGGAAAGAGTAGGGACCCTTGTGAGATGGGAGAATTTGTGCCATGTCCTCTGGTTTTTTGGAAATGTAATTACTTGAAGTGATGAACTAGGTCAAGAGTATTTCTTAAAATCACACATTGCAAAATCCCTGGTTATAGTATCTGAAACCAGCTAGAGCAGCAGGCCTTGGACCACATGCTCAATATCTAATAGTTAGACAAGAGACTTTAACAATTTAAGTTCCTCTGCCCTGTGTTTTTGGAGATTTTCCCCTGACATTCTGGAGTGGGGGGCGGGGGGAGGCATATGAGACCTCTTGCTCATGGCCAAGGCTTGGGTCCTCTTAAGTTAATGGAAAGGAGGTGGAAAAGGTAGAGGAACCAGCAATGAATACAAAGAAATCACTGAAAACCTAGCAGGATTCGGATCCCCATACTGGCCAGCTGCCAAAAACAAAAACAAAAAGTGAAAACCTAGCAGCTGAGTTAGTGGATGGCGTGGAAGGTAAATTCAGTTTTTTCTAATAAAGTGAATTTTTTTTTTTTTTTTTTTTTTTTTTTAAAAATGACCGGTAAGGGGATCTTAACCCTTGATTTGGTGTTGTCAGCACCACGCTCACCCAGTGAGCGAACTGGCCATCCCTATATGGGATCCGAACCCGGGGCCTTGGTGTTATCAGCACCGCACTCTCCCGAGTGAGCCACCGGGCCGGCCCATAAAGTGAATTTTGATAACTTGTGGAATTGCACTTAGTCCTTT